CTCGTGGCTGGCCTCACACCTCTGGTCAAGAGACTCAGAATGGTAGTGGGTGGGGGCAGCATAACGGTCCAAAGGTGGCCTTCTACCATCCCAGCCTTCTCAACTGGCCACAACATCCCAGCTGGCTACCCGGCACTTCGCGCTGCAGAATGGGTTTTGCGGCATCAAAAGGTAAGTTCCAGCGCCATGCGGCTTACTCCTTTATTCTAACGGGACGGGCAACCCACAACCATCATATAAGCTCGTAACCCCGCTGCTCGCTCCCCGCTACTTCGTTTGGTGGGGTGAACAACGCTCCGGCCAATGGCCAAACCTCTTCCTCGCGGTCTGCCTACGGCCGCGTTGCTTGATGCTACAGGCAAATGGGACACAGGCAACAGGCGACGGCTGCGCATCCTACATTGAGCGAAGTAGCGCATGGCCGACTCATATCATCACGAGTGAACCCCGCAGACCGTTCACGCCTACCATCCACTGAGCCAACGAGCCCCTCCGTCGACTCCCGTCACCACCGACAGGTAGCAGAAACACCCCGAACTGATTGGTCCCCACCTCGAAGTGCTTAGCTCGGTGGGTAGCAGCCTCCTGGCCCCGCACCTCCTTCTATTCAGGTACGTAACCTCTTTCCCCCTTTGGCGCAGTTCTCACTGCCCAAGCCACGAATCTACTCACTAACCTCCGAACTCGACTTACTCATCAGATTCCCCCACCACCGAGATCTCTAGGACTCGCACTCCCTCCCCCGTTTTCAGCAAGAATCGAGGGAAAACTCGATCTCTCCTTCTTACCTCACCTATCCTTCAGCCATAGCTTCGCGTAGACCGGTTCTTTACTAACTTCTAGTCCTCTCACTTAATACTAAATCGAACACCAGATTCGGATTCCCTGCTGCTAATAACCCCATGTCGAGTTCTTTCCCTACCCGTTTTCATCAGGAATCGGGCAGGCTTTACATACTCGATTACGCCTTACCGGCCACCATTCCTGAATGCATTTGGCCCGGTGGGTCGTCTAGGTACATTCCGCCCCCCCACTTTTCACTTGCACTTCCTCCGTAGCCCCAGTGCACCCCCTATCTTCTCTACCTCCTAACCCACTGCCTTTCCACCGAAACCGCCACAACAGTCGGGCTCGCCACGACTAATAACCCCATGTCAACATCTTCCCCCCGCCCGTTTTCATTGAATAATCGGGTGGGACCTCGCACCTCCATCCCGGCCATAGCCATCACTCCCCGCAACTTGTTCTTCTACTAACCCTCTTTCTACACTAACTAATCACTCAAACTAACAACAAAATCGAATTCGCCCCTCCTTAATACCTCTATACCGTGTCTTTACCCGCTAGAATCCATTGAGGATCGAGCGAATAACACTCTTCTTTATCTTTCTCCTTCCTCGTCCTCCGCCATATCCCGCGCGCACCAACTTTCCTATTCATCTCTAGTTCTACTACCCCTCCCACTCATCTGACCTTACCAACGAGGCCGCTCGGGGTAGAAACCCCGATATCACTTCTTTCCCTGCCTGATTCCATCAAGGAACAGGCGGGCAATACGATTTTTCCCTTCGTCATACCGTCCTCCCACCATTTCTTCTCTCCGCCATAGCTCCGCGCGGGAGTTTTTCTTGCTATCTTACTCCACACTCCACCTTCCGCCAATCCGCTTCCACCATCGGATTCGCTCGGGGTTAAAGCCCCGGGATCGCCTTTCTCCCCGCCCAAATCCGTTCCTCAACGGATGAGCTACACCTCTCCTCCTTCGTTGTTCCCTCCGAATGAACCCGGCGCGAGCCCGTGGCCAGGTTCATTCCCTCTTCCATTCATCATCCCGACTCTCTCTGGTGCTGCCCCGTCGCTCCCGCTGCCTGTTGCTTTAGCGCCCGACACTGATTACCTTTCTCCGTGATCTTAGCGCTCGTCCCTCACGCGCTATCACCCCGCTGCCCGTTCTCCTTCACTCCGCGTGCACCCGTCGCGGCTCCCCGTCCTGATTCACTCCTCCGCCTTTGCGACCCGTCAGCGCCAGCTTCGTCCCACAGCGCCCAGTAGCTTGGGGACTCCACAGCGTCCCTGTGACCCATTCGACGGCCACGCCTATCCGGGAAAACTTCGGAGAGAACCAGCTACCAGCCAACTCGATTAATCTCTCGTCACATTACCTAAATCCGACGACAACAGGGCCCGGCGGTCGCACCGTGTGTCTTACCACAGTGTCCCCGGCCCCCTTTTTGCTAGCCTCTCCGTCGCCCGCTCGCTGCCGTTCGCATAGCACCCAGCGTGCCACCCCGTCCCGGTTCATTCCGCAGTGCTGCCTACTGACCGCTATCACTAACTCCACGCCCCACCTGCCGACGTTCATAGGGGAATGGGGCCGAAGGCGAGGCATAGTGGCTGGCCCAGCGCCGAGACTCAGCTCGACGCTACTGGCTGGCCCCCGTCATGCACCACCTGCCCACTATAGCGGATATCGCCCCCCCCCCCTTGCCTGTGGGTACAACTCCAGCATGTTCCCTCGTTGGAGGCTTGAGCACGGATGTGGCTGATACGGGGCTCCCCTTAATACTATAGGGGCGTGACTTCGGCGTAGTCCCCACAACAGTTTGTGATTTGAACCTCTGGTCCCCCTGCGAATATAACACACCCCCGCGCGACATCCTACCGCAGCCCCGCGTTCCAAAACGGGGCGTGGGACCCAGAACAATAAGAAAATAAAATAGAATAACAGTAACGTCGGGGAACCGCGGGATCGCTGGCACCCTGTCGTCCCGTGGAGTGGGTCCGCCGCCGCGCTTGTACACAAAACCGAGGGAGATAGCCCCGCAGGGCCCTCAACCCCTCAGGTTTCGCTCCACGCTGCTCCGCTGCTGCCGCGCCGACGCCCACTGGCCTCGACCCCCGAACCTCCGTCTCCCGAATCCAATACCGTAACCAATAGGGCTAAGCCCAAGCCTGGAGTTAGCCTACGCAAAACCCAATATAAGGTGAGGCAGCGCAGTGCCTAGGCCAGAAAGACGGTCAGGGCATCGTCTCTGCCTGCAACCAAACCCACGACCGCTAAGTATCCACGCCGGCCTACCCAAACCGTGTCGTGGCCGCCCCCGCGCGCCATCCTACGTCACCCCATTTACCACACAAGGTCGTACCGTCGCCGTCGATGTCGTCGTCCTCGTACGCTCGCTCGACTTGGTCAAACGTAGCCATCGAAGGAAAATATCCCCTAGATCTTAGTCTAATGGAGAGTAAATAAAAACTCAAAGATAAAAAAAAAATAATAACAATAAGCAGACTGCCACCCGCGCCAGTTTCGTAATCAACATCAGGGGATGACTCACGCGCGCCTTAAACCTGCGCGCCCACACACTCTTTACTCTAGCCAACCATCCTACCAACGTAAGTCACAGACGCGGCCGCGCCTAGCGCGGTATACTTAAACTTTAAACCAAAATTATTTTTGTTGCTTGCAAAAATCAGGGCGGATACCCTTCTAAGGGTATTCGCGCCGACAACTTACCGGACCATATTAAGCGACGTCCCCATCGCTTCGCAAAATCGAAAAGCGATCAGATTCCCCAAGATGCTGACGAAAGAGGAACCAATCCGATTAGCCGACAAACACAGGGTAGAGACCTCCATCAAACCATGCCTCCACAACTATATGCTGCCAGGTTTGTATATCCTGGCTGATCGGACCAAGACTACGGCCCACCAAGTTGTTATTTTAGCGGCAGTACCCTCGTTGGTTACGCAACGATAGGTTTTCTCTTGATAAGCATTCAATCAGTATTTTCCAAAAACCTCAACGGTCACTATCCCACGGAGTAATTTCCCTGGGGCGGGCAACTCCCCTTAAACTCTTACTCCGCGGTCCTGCAGCCTGGTTGCACCGGCTAGCAGCCATCCACTGGGGTTGCGCCCTAGAGGTGCTAATCTTTACCGCTTAGCTTGGTATTCCTCTATTATGTCCCAGAACTAGCACAAGTGGTTAGACGGAGCGTCGCAAAACCAATCACGGGCCCACTGCGAGGTTACGCAGGGGTCTGAAAGCATTTACCAGCTCTCCCACGAAAGGCATGGCATCCTTCACACAATCACAAACAAAATCCACTAGGTCCACAAGGTCGTGACCCCTGACTTGATCAGAGCCAGCAGCCACCCATCCTGAGATTTCTCTCGCCCTGCAGTCGTTGCGACTTCCTCAAACATTTCAACAAAAGTGACCTCTTTTCGTCAGACTTTTATCACTCATTAGACAACTCACCATGCCATAAATCAGCTTACTCACCTCTGAGGGTGGGTCTTGCAATAATAAACCCTCCCCCTTTCCCAAAATCCAGGTGCTCTCATCATAGATCAAAACATCCCCTCTCTCAAAATCACGAGGGGTCTCACCACAGAACAAAACACCCCCTCTCCCAAAATCATGAGGGGTCTCATTACAGAACAAAACACCCCCTCTCTCAAAATCACGAGGGGTCCCGTCACAACACAAAACATCACAGAACACCCCCTTTTCTAAAATCCAAAGGGTCTCTTCATAAGACGGAACATTACGGAGAGACCATCTTATGGGTCCTCGTCACACTTAAGCAATCAACAACCGGCATGGTGAAACATTCGAGTCTGAGAGACTCATAAATCCTCAGAAAATCCCCACAACTTTCCATAAACAGGTTGCACTTCCTCCCCTTATACTCTTCCCTATCAGCTGCCCGGGGGCAGGTCGCACGAGTATACCGAGGAGTAAACAACTTTACATGTCATACATTCACACATCTTCCACACAAAGTCAACATTCATCAGGATAAAACCACACACGTGAGAGTGATAGTGATCGTCACAAAAACCAAACCTCATAGGGTTTCAACTCAATATGTACACCAGGACAAAATGTCTCTCTCAGAACGACATAGGTCCCCAGCCCTCACGTCCTACTCTGCTGAGTAACCCACGTCTCGAACACACAAGTATCTCGAAATACAGCCAAACCCATACAAAGGCTCAAACCACGCAATTTATCCCAATTGTACATACCAATATATCACACGTTTGGACACAACCATCTAAATCACACCAAAAGAGGAAACGAATGATTCGTCTAGTACAACGATCTGCATATGTACAGACGGACAAGCTAGTCGTGGTTATACCTAACTATGCACATATCTAGCTCAGTCCCCATATACAAGAAACTTTGATCCTACTGACATATAGGCGAACCAATCCCTACTTACTCATCACCTCCTGGCCTCACCTATATGTTTGAGCTATCTACAGCCTAAGTCACTTTACCGGACCATTATTGTGAAACCCCTTCTCGCTGTATGTTGTACCTATCTACAACAGCTACATAATTGGGATCCCTCGCGCATATTTACAGTCTGCTAAAAATTTTCAGCTCGTTCTCACACAAGTCTTTCTCCTTCACGATTACATTTAGGAGGCGGTGTCCGATGCTCCATCCCGCCGCAAAGCTTCCTTCCGTGTTCCCCCTGGGATGGTTGGGTCGATATACTCCCCGACCCTGTCGAAAATATTTCCCTCAATGTCAATCCGTATTAGACCGCTTGCCTCATCTGTCTTGCGCTCCGGGCAAAACTTTATTATGTGCCCTTCCTTGGCACAATGTCTGCAAATATCTTTTTCCCAACTCGCTTTCTTCCCTCCAAAGCCACCTCTGCTGCCGCTGCGTCCTTCGCTGCCACGCCCACCGTTCCTGCGGCCTCTTCCAGCCGCCTGCTTTTGACCTTCTTCGTAGGCCCTGCCGCCTTGCGGCACTTGCTGCGACGGTAATTGCAACGGCCTCCCGGACTAGGCTTGGGCTACCAAAGGCCTGGGTACCATCTCCAGATCGTTATTGGTCAGGTGCTCCTCACCTAGCCAGTACTTATGCCTCATGTCATCACAAAATTTCCCCCATGATGACCTCGCTCCTTTGATCAACCTGTCAACTTCATCCCTCAATCCTACATGGATAAACCTTATAACCTCTTTCAGCATTCGGTCTATCCCAATCTCAGGCCCTATACCCATTTGATCGTACGGCGTCCATTGTCGATATAGTGCCTGCTCGGCTGCCGAAGGCCCCCTTTAAGCAGTTTCGTCTCCCATTCCTCGCGGAGTGACTACCTCTTGTTGCGAGCACTGCCCTTCGCTGGTACCCTAACCTCCCTGGGCCCAATTCCTCGCCTTCCACTGAGCCTCTGTCAACTTGGGAGGTTCAAGCTTCCCTTTTTCTCCTGTCACACCCCTTCCCTTACTTCCTTGCGGGGTACAGTCAGTCTTCTCCCAACAACCACATACCGTCTCTACCCAGTGCGCTAGCCACCACCCATTTTTTTGCCTCTCCGACCTGCAGCTGAGGACGCTTCCACGTTAATGAGCCCCTTCTTTGGATCCGGCGCAATAACAGGCAAGGCTATATTAGCATCCTGCTCCTCCTTTATCTCAATGAAATCTCCGTCTTTGTCTCTCGCCTGAACACCGGCTCGCCTCTTTGGGGCTCCTATCGAGAGGGGTGACTCTTGGTCATCCTTCTCCACTCCTCTTTCACCCTGGTCAGTCGGCTCACTTGGCGGACCTTCCGAAATTTTCTGCTTGCCCTTCCTGACCTCCTCTAGTCGTGCTGACCTCTCTTCCAAGGCCCCTACTTGTCTTTGTAGCCCACTTAATTCTGCCTGCGATGGTCCGCCCGCACTTGGCGGCACAGAGCATTCCCCACGTTGACCCTCCATCCCGTCTTCTGGGAATCTTAGCCTTAGGGAAATCTCCAGCTCATCCCACGTCTTCGCCTTCTGCTTGAGGGTATAAACCTCCTCGCTTAGGATTTCGCAAACGAACAAAGGGAACATGTACCACATCGCCTTGTTGTCCCACTTCTTTATAAGGCAGAAATCCTGAAAATCACGCAGAAAGCTGGACAAGTTCCTTCCTTGGAACAACAGGGTGCGCAAATCTGAGGGCATTGAATCCCGCAACATCTCGTGCAGCAACACCTTCATGAGGCACAAGTTTCTCCAACGCAGGATCCTGGCGAAACCGCTCTCTTCCGCCATGGTGCTGATTGCAGCCTGGTACGCAAAGCAAGCAGCCATTTATTAGGGAGCGTCCTAGGCGGACTCAAGCAACCAGGGGCAAGCGGTTGAACTCAACGCTCATTACCTTATCCCATGTCCACATCGAGGAACCCCTAGTCCTTACAATAGTATATACAAGCAGGACTCCTCAACGCTGACTGTTGGCAAGCAGCAGTAATGTGACAATAGGTATAGACACGACTGCACCCAAGTCAAAGGGAGCGCACTTTTAGCAAACGACAAGGACCTTTTTTATTGGTCCACTACTGCTCGAAGCTCATCCCAGTCTACATTCCCCTTATTCGGATCATGAGAAGTGGCATATATGTCAACCATATTGGCCGTATTCTTAAGCCACTGCCTAGGAGGCGAGAACTTCGAGTCTAAGTACAGACCATATATCAGTTCACATGTATAACGCCCATACTCCCAGTTTTGCACCCTCATAGCAGCTTCAACTGCCTCTTCTATTATTGCCTGTCCACCAAAGCTCTTCTCTACGAGGAAGTAGGGCAGGGTGACTCGTAGTGGAACCGTCGGAAGCGCGAACCCCCAGAGCACTTGACCTCTACATGGGTTAGTACGTGCTTTTCTCCGCCATGGGATACTTCCCTCGCCCACTTTGCCGCAGCCGCCTCAGCTACCCTCAGCGGCCTAGCGAGCAGACTTCCGTGCCCAAGTGTCAACTCTATTCTATGCTCGACCCAAAAGATGGCAGAGGCGTACAGGGTCACCCTCACAATTGCGCATTCCTGCTGGTCATCGAACCCAGACTCAATCCAGACAAAGATGTCCGTGCCCATCATCACGCCCCACCATGATGAAATATACTCTCCGTCTCTAACCCGCCTGGGTAAAGACACCTCGAGCCCTCCCGCCTTCCGTTATTAGACTGACAATCCCTACCCCTTTTGGAAGAGCGACCCTAACGTACAGGCTAAACGGCCAACGATGAGCCAAATGCTGGGCTGGAGGCATCCACATCAATTTCCACAGGCTGATAAGGTCCCAAGTATAGTCCCAATAAAATAGCCCACACAAAATACTCCTAAAGAAGATATTTACTTAAACATACAAACTCACATACTTGAACATAATCCAGGCTTGCTAGGTCCGACATCCATAGGTGAGTTCAATATATAACTCAAAGTGGCATCCTCAAACCAGATGGTCCCAAGTCTTTAGCTTCCCAAGGGGATGGTCCAACCTGGAAGGGTTCAGGTGAAGGTCTAACACCAATTACTACCCACCATTCCATTAAAGGTGAGCAAAAATAGTCTAAGTGTTAACTCTTCCATTGCTACTCCACCCCCCTCTAGGATTGAACGTTCTTTACGTAAAGATGGTATTATCCAAACTCACTACGCCCTGTAGTAGAACAGCAGCCTACAATCCAGACTCAAACCTCTAGGTCCATGCCCGTAATATCCTTCAACTGTCCTTAACCTACTTCTCCTCAAAGCCCACGAACGGTTTCTAACCTGCCTCCTAGGAGAGGATCTATACCTTCAACTCTTGGCAGAGGAATATTATTTCACTCATCCTTAGCTCTCTTCTGATGCAACTGCATTACGATGCGTTCCCAACCGCTCAGTCGACTCTTTATGGCAGTCAAAAAGGTACCTCATAGGGCTAACTCTCACAATAGCCATGCTTACTCTTAGCCACGTCAAGCACGCAAGGCACCGCCCAGGCCTGTCAAATATCGAATCAGAAGGGTTACCAATCCTAAATACCATCATGCTAGTCAGCACCAGTGAACGCAGACTTGAAACACTTATCACCTTCGAATCACTCATACCACATTGATCCAAATCAGGTCACATTAATCAAACCACATCGTCCAACCAATCCATCAACGATCGGGGTTAGAAGAGGTATCTACTCCAGCTACCGACATACTAATCAGAGTACGCAAACGCATAACCGAAGTACGTACGCGCATAATCAACGTACGTGGGCGTATAGTCAAAGCTTATCCCTTTCACGCTACCCTTATTGCACCAAACAGAACTAACTCGCATAGTCAGCTCTCACTCGCTTTCTATCCAACATCTCCAATCACCTAGCCATAAAGCTCAAAGATTTCTCACTTCGCCTATTTCTCACATTCCCCTACTCGGATGTCGTTCCACCAGGGACAACGGTAGGCAACCGTTATCCCCGGCAACGGCGCCACCTGTCGGGCGCATCGGTCTGACACCGCACGTGGCAGCGCGGGACCCTCTCGGCCGCGTCACGCAGAAGTTTGACCAACCTTGCCGCGAACACACAAATGGAGCTTCCTTAGACCGCTCCGGCCGAGTGCGCCAACCATACCTCTCGTGAGCCCCTACGACAGGATAGGGCCTACGCGAGGCACAACTTACCTCCACCTTACAGGAGTTGTCACCTCCCTTCGGTGGGCGTATCCCCGCCGAGCCACCAGTCCACAGTACGAAAGCTACTCAGTTGCAATTGCAGAGGTGGACCAGCCGAGGGCGTTTCTTGTTCGCTGCAGCATAGGAGGTACGCGCGGTAATACGCCTATCGGACCCGCACGCGAACCGACATCTGGGGGGACTGAAGTCCTAAGCGCGGCTCGTCGTCGGTCGACTAGGAGGCATCCCACACACCACGCGCACACCACTTTACGAACAAAAAAATAAACGCACACACACGCACATACAACACGACACAACACAAACAACGCGACAACACTCCTAGCCCCTCGATAATCAACCCATAACTTTCTGATGCGGAAATCGGATAGGCGTCGCGCGCGAGACTCAGTATAAAACCGTGCGGACGCAGGACTAACTCATATCAACTCGCAATGCAAGCGTACGCAAGCAGTCGCAATGATGGCGTACTGTGTAGTACCCATATTCACGCGGTCCCCGTTAATCACGAGGGTCACGTTCAACACTCAAGCATCGGCTGACACTCGCCTTGAGGGTTAATCTCTCGATGCTGGACGACCGCCATGCACGGTTGAAGACCACACCCTCTTATGCACCCTATGCAGAGGGGTTGAGTAGACAACTTTAAGCTGTCGTGCCGGTCGAACATCAAGAGGTTTGACTTTGACGACCGCCATGGACTACAACGTCCAACCATACAAACTCTAAAAAGCAAGGGTAAAAAGGGGACCTCCCTTCCCTCTCGAGACATAATCCAGTTAACCCTTATTCACACTCACAATAGGCCTCTCAAATACTCAGGGCACTTATAAATACGTAAGGGTTGATTAAATAGGACGATCACTTCTCACAGTCATATTGAGGCTCCTCTCAGCCATATATGTATAAAAATCGCAGGCAATCACATCCAGAGTTCGAACCACAACCATACCTACAACCACATCAAAGATTCATCCAAAAGTCCACGCACTACACGGGGTCAACTTCAATCATTCCTTGCACCCATACCCCTCGCTTTAGCCATACAAGCCTCACTCGTGCAACTCTTCAATAAATACTCAGTACTTTTGTTGGATGACCATTCAATAATGTCCGGGTAAAAACACAACAAAACAATTCAAATGTCAAGGATCAGACCTTTAGGTTGAGTGGCAGGAGTGAATTGGAGTTCAATCGTAAACCGACGAATCGGCAACCGACCTGTTATCAGTGATAATAGAGGATGATCCTCGTGAGATCAAGCGGAAACTAGTCCAAATTCTGGGTCAATCGATCAAGAAGACCTGTAACACAAGACCGGTCAATACCCACGGCTAAATCTATAAGTTAATGGAGAATAATCCTCATATCACGATCCCACTCAAAACATTCTAATTAACTAAGCCTAAGTCTACCCTCAAGCAGTGCCCAAAGCAAAGGTAGACCAATGGCAGAATCTCCCTTATTCAGAGTGGATCGCCAAAATCGTCACCTGTCAAGATATAATCTATCTTAGGAAAATTTCGGAAGCGCTTCCCGTAGGAAAAGTGTCTTTTCAGAATTTATATCAGCCCGAATATGAAACTAGAAATGGTCTTTGACTTTCCAAAGTCCAATTGCGTCTAACTCCTTAAATTAGCAAAAATTTGAGCAGCACTCCCGTTAGAAAATGAGACTTTTCATATTTTTACTAAGTCATATATAAACTTTAGGCAAGTTGAACTTTGACAAGTCAAAACTTGACTAACTCATTGGATTTGCAGAAATTTCGGCAGCGCTCCCCCTAGAGAGGGTAGCTTACCAAAATTTATAAAAAACCAAGTATAACAAAAGATTCCAGAAAATGCGAGAATCGATGTACGTAAAATAAACTTAGCTAAAAAAATACAGAAATCGAACTAACTCCTATCGCTCTAACACGTGGCGAGCTTCTAAAGCAACTACCTGTGAAACTGAATCTCGGACCAAGTAATAGCCTCACTCAGTCACATGCAATGCCAAACCACAAAAGTAAGTACTCTTACTCTCACCAGCCCCAAGTCAACTTCGCAAACAATAGTTCATAGTCTAATGATTCAACTCTTTATACCTTGCTTACATAGGGCATTGGGACTAGCTATTCGTGTTAGAAACAATGCCAACCCTCTGCCTTAGGTATACACGAACAGGTTGCACAACTACTTTTCTCTTCATTGGGCATGTGACTAAGTCATTCATCTTAGAAACAATGCTTAGTCGCCCTGAACTGTTTAAATAGCCAAGTTATATATACTTCTCTGAACTTAATCTTACCCTGGATCTGACCCAGAGACTGTTCAGAAACCACCCAACTAAAACAGCGGCCAGACCATTCAACTTGGAAACAATGTCTGACCCTCAAAAGCTAGGCAAGCAATACCCCTCAAAAGTAAGTAGCCGGGTCATTCATGTTAGAAACAATGCCTGACACAATTACAGAAACACAGTAACCAAGCCATTCATCTTAGAAACGATGCTTGGTCCTTCAGAAAATAAAACAACACATAGCAGTCAGGCCATTCATCTTAGAAACAATACCTGACCCTATGAGACCCATTCAATTGCAAACAAAACTGTCTTCCTCCCAGCCTTCCCCCAGATGCATCCCTTTGTGACAATCTGCTTTCAGGCAATCAAAGAAACTGAAACTTCCATTATACATGCATTACTTTAGT